AGTGATCGCATTTCTCAGTTAGAGAATCAGAACAGAAACTTGGAAAAACGTATTGCTACCGATCTCCGCAGTAGAGAGAGCAAACAAGATAAACGGATTTCCATTCTAGAGAAGCAGTACTCGCGTTTAGAAGAACGCTTGAAAAAACACTCCAAGGACATTTTTTATGTGAAAACGCTTGAGAAGACCACTATGAAAAAGATTTCCGGTTTACTGAGTAGACAAAACGTCCAAGAAAAACTCTTCAGAAATCTGAAGGATCGACTTCAAAATTTGATGAACTCCCAAGAAGAAAAGTCCTTTTTTGCTAATGCCCTCACGCAACACAAAGAAAGTTTGATAAGAAAAGGTAAAATACGGCGATAAACTGCCAACGTTAAATCATATTTATATCACTTGAAGAAAATTTTAATTTCTACTTACTGCATTTATTTCATTTTCAGAGCGATTGCATGATCCTGTGACAACTACTGCGTCACTCAACAACATTGTTGCGTTCTATGCGTATTTATCACAGGATGTTCCATCTCCAAGCGCGCACTACATCCTTGCATTTGATAACGTAATCACGAACGCTGGAAATGCCTATCATTCCCATACGGGTACCTTCATAGCGCCACGGTCTGGTCTATACGTGTTTACGTGGACTATCAGAATGTATGGAGATTCATATCACTCAACAGAATTGTTGATCAATAACAATTTTGTTGGGTCGACATATCTAAACTCAGCTAATACTATCAGTGGCAGTGTTACCGGTATTGTGGTGGTGCATGTTAACCAGGGAGATGATGTTTTTCTTAGAACGGGTGGAGAATACAACAATGGTAACATTTACAGTGACAATCTTGGAAAATCATCTCTTGCAGGATGGGCTTTGGCATAAAGGCGACAACTTAAAATAAATTGATGAATTATCTTGTTTTTTTTATTCAAAAGAGGGCAATATCCGTATATTTCTGCATGGACTGATCCAGAAGGTGTGGCATAGAGATCATGGAAGTTTAGAACACCTGGCCGCTGCTAATTTTAAAAGTTATTTTTTTTTTGTGAATGTAAAAGATGACAATAACAACAGCTATGAACAACGGAAAATCTCTTAATTTCCTAAGAAATACGAAAAAAACAAGTCGATTCACATTTCTAAAAGAGACAAATTGGCAAACGGCCGTCAAGTTTGGGGGGCAAAAATGGTTTTCATCTGCAGTAGTCAGCAGTTCATTGGCCGTTGTCTTGCCCGATTTCACAATTTTTTTGGTCCGCGTACCAATTTTGTACCCCCCGGGTCAAGGTTTTCTGGTAGTGGTTTACCGATTTCTTCATTTAGGCAGTCATAGAATATTCTGTCGACCAAACACTGATCATTGTCTGACTACTAGCAGTCATTTGTCAAGTCAGTCGACAGTCTATCAACATGTAGGAATTAAAACTACACGGTTCGTGAAAAGGGATTTGTTCGCCATATTCCATTATTCGCTCGTTATATCTGTTCAATGTAATCAGTTGTCATCGGTATAGACAGACGCATGCTACCCAGTGCCCAGTAGGGAAAAAAATAGTATATTTCTTTTACGGTAATATAGCAAGACTTCAAAGAAACTTACAGAAGTTGCACAGGTCGGTGCTGTAACAGACACATTCAAAAACATGTGACTGCATTTAAATATATAAATAAAAACAATGCATGTTAACTAACAAGAACATGTGTTGCCATTCCACTCCGAAAACTATGACAATGAAGCAGTCAGATGTAACGAATGTGAAGATAGATTAGTATGATCAAATTAAAATGTGCCTATTCCCACCTCTGATGCTTTGGAGATCCGTGTTTGCTCTGTTTCTGTTTTTTACTGACTTTTGATCTTGAATACTGTTCGTTATCGCCATATGTTTCTATTTACGAGTCGTGTTCAGCTTTAAGTTTTCCAAAACGTCGGTTAAAAATGTTCGACCGGTCAAGGTAGTCATTTTACAAAACAAATCGAAACTTTAAAAAAGTTTCTTTTTCCTCTTTTTATTATTTTGGTGCAAAATAAATATATTTGAACTCGTTATTTTCTAACCCAAAAAATTACCATATCTCAGAATGTATCATGAATCCTATAATTATGGTTAAGGTCACAAGACTTAAACTGGGAATGGGGATAAAATTATTTCTTACTTAATGAGTCAAGTTTATTTAATGTTATCTTATTAATGGCCCCTGTATGAAGTACTCAGTATAAACTTGATCGTTACCGACATAGTCATGAAGAAATTAAAGGAATTCCAAATGACCATTCACATCAAAAGCGAACGCATTCCTCAGCTAGTAGAACAGAATCACAGGTTACTTAAAACTGTTGCCTCTGATGTCTTCGACAGAGAGAGTCAACAGGATGAGCGTATTTCTAAATTAGAGAAACTATATTTGTTTTTAGAAGAAAGTGTGATTATCCAGTCAAAGGGCATTTTAGCTCAGGAAAAGCAAAGAGAAGGAATATGAAAAATACTTCTAAATTTCTGAGTAGACAGAGCATACAAGAAAAACGGTATAGTGATATTAGAGTTCTGCTACAATACTCTCAGGATGAAACGTCTGATTTCTATATATCTATCAAACAGCACAAAGAAAGTTCGATAAGAAAAGGTAAGACATATGAATACTAATTTACAACAAAGCTTTGTCGATATACAACAGCCAATATAATGTCATTTTTAAGTTTTATTACCGGTATAACAATAATGTGCTTTCTACATATCTCCAGAATACCATCATTTTTTTTTTTAGAACGATCGCTTGTACTCTTGGTTTAACTGCAGCGTCCCTCGAAAACATTGTCGCTTTCTATAATAGATATCCGTCCCTTATCCAACTGCGCACCACATTCTTACACTTGATTAGGTTATCACCAATGTCGGAAATTCCTACCATCCCCTCTCTGATACATTCATAGCCCCCTGATCTGGTTTCTACGTATTTACATGGACTATCAGAATGTATGGAGTATCATACCACAGGACAGAACTGTTGGTCAATAACAATTTCGTTACTCAGTAACAAATATTCACATAGATGACAGTGTTACCGGTAGTGTCCACACATCTCAGTACTAACGTCCACATGGATGGCAGTGTTACTGGTATGTTGTTGTGCATGTGGAGGAGAGAGATTATGCCATGAACAGCAGTGTGTTACTAGTACTGTCGTTTTGAATCAGTACTAACGTTCACATGGATGGCAGTGTTACTGGTACTGTCGTTGTACATCTGTACTAACGTCCACATGGATGGTAGTGTTACTGGTACTGTCGTGGTACATCAGTTCTAATGTCCACATGGATGGTAGTGTTACTGGTGCTGTCTTTGTACATCAGTATTCACGTCCACATGGATGGTAGTGTTACTGGTACTGTCTTTGTACATCAGTACTAACGTCCACATGGATGGTAGTGTTACTAGTGCTGTCTTTGTACATCAGTATTCACGTCCACATGGATGGCAGTGTTACTGGTACTGTCCTTGTACATCAGTACTAACATCCACATGGATGGTAGTGTTACTGGTACTGTCCTTATACATCAGTACTGATGTCCACATGGATGGCAGTGTTACTGGTACTGTCGTTGTACATCAGTACTAACGTCCACATGGATGGTAGTGTTACTAGTACTGTCGTTGTACATCAGTACTAACGTCCACATGGATGGCAGTGTTATTGGTACTGTTGTTGTACATCAGTACTAACGTCCACATAGATGGCAGTGTTATTGGTACTGTCGTTGTACATCAGTACTAACGTCCACATGGATTTTAGTGTTACTGGTACTGTCGTTGTACATCAGTATTCACGTTCACATGGATGGCAGTGTTATTGGTACTGTCGTTGTACATCAGTACTAACATCCACATAGATGGCAGTGTTATTGGTACTGTTCTTGTTCATCAGTGCTAACGTTCACATGGATGGCAGTGTTTCTGGTACTGTCCATACATCTCAGTACTAACGTCCACATGGATGGCAGTGTTACTGGTACTGTCCTTGTACATCAGTACTAACGTCCACATGGATGTTAGTGTTACTGGTACTGTCGTTGTACATCAGTAATAACGTCCACATGGATGTTAGTGTTACTAGTACTGTCCACACATCTCAGTACTAACGTACAAATGGATGGCAGTGTTACTGGTACTGTCGTTGTACATGTTGAGGAGGGAGATGATGTCATGTTAAGGACGGCTGACATATCTAACGGGGGAAATATAATAATTATAAGTAGACCCGAAGGTCGATCTTCATTTGCAGGATGGGTTAGCTTAACATTACCAAATAAATAAAGTGTTCAAGTTATCAAATTCCATTATTTTTACATGCAGTTCTACATGAATTTTCTTACTTGATACAATTCTGTATCCATTATTTTACTTTCCGTCAATTTTCAATTTGGATAATTATTTCAGCTAAACGAAAGGACATTCTAGGCAATGTGACCTTTGATAAGCCAGATATTATTCTTAACTCTACCATAAAACAAGAATTATTATTTATGTGAAATCCAATTTTCTTTTTGTTATTATTAATAATTCTTATTTTATTTTCCATTTAACATATTCAGAGTTAGTGAAACCTTAGTACTAGTATTAATTATGGTTATGGGAAGAGGTCAACTTTCTACCCTTCATTAGTACATTTCTTGCCATGACAATCCACATTAACAACTTTTTTTAAAATCCGGTGCTACCTATGATCTTGTATATAAGTAAATATAGCATACACATAAATATTACAAAAATAACTAAAATAAAATTCCATTACATCATATGTTTTGAGAGATGGACAAACACACACACACCTATAACCCTGTCCATAATGAATCGACCGGAATTGGTGTGCGAATTTCGGTTCAACACCATTACTGTTCTTTTAATTTAGGGAGAAATATCATTATCTGCAAAATTTTGGGAAAGGTTTACATATCAGAAAGATAAGAAATACTAAGTGAAGAGTCCCAAAGAAAGCGACCTAAAATGGCGTCAATGCATTTCGTAGTTGTTGCACTTTTGGTGCACATTCAATTATTATGTTGTGTCAACGGAAACAGTTTTGATCGAAATTGGAGGTCAGTAGTTAATATATTAAACGATCTACAAAACACTATTAATATTCAAAATGAGCGAATTTCCCTGTTAGAAAAGCAAAGGGACATGCCAAACATGGGATCATTTGAAGAACTTCAGAGGATTATCATTACTCAAAACAAACGCATTTCATCTTTGGAGAGGCAAGTCAATGACTTAGAAGAGACCATTATTAGCCAATCCAGAGCATCTGAATCTCAAGGAAATACCACAACCCATAAGCAATCTAAAATTCCTGCTCACCAACGAAAACATCATCAACATCCTAGCTCCAGTTTTAATTTTCTTAGACCTCCACGCGTTTTCCAAGGGAAAGAAAGAACAACTTCAAAAATATCAAGATTTACAAAAAAACCAAAGTGTGAAAAATTACTAAGAGGAGGTATCAATTGTTTGTTACATTCTAGTTTGAAAACATTACCTGTATATGAAATACTATATTTCGCCTTGACAAAATCAAAGTTCATTCTGAAATACATGTAGAATCTATTGCCTTTTTATTTTGTTTGATTTCATATTTTCATCAATATGCAAAGTAAATAATCACACATTTTACTTTGTGTGTGTTTCAGGAAGACTTCTTGCTCCGTTAACAACGCCCACAACCTCACCATCTCCAAGCAATACGGTGGCGTTCTATGCGTACTTGTCCAAAACAATTCCTGCTTTCGTCGGCCATCACATCATTACATTCGATGTAATGGTAACAAATGTTGGTAACGGATATCATCCCTATACTGGGATATTCATTGCACCCCGAGCTGGAATCTACGTTTTCGCCTGGACAATAAGAATGTATGGGTCGTCCTCCCACACAACAGAATTGGTAGTCAATAGCAATGTTGTTGGAGCAGTTTTTCTTAATCCTTTATCACATATTGATGGTAGTGTATCAAATGTTGTTGCTGTGCACGTTAACAAAGGAGATGACGTTTACATAAGAACAGGGGACGACCGGAACTCAGGGGACATAATGAGTCATTCCTGGGGCCGATCCTCTTTTACTGGTTGGATGCTGTCGTAGTCAGGCCAGTTTAATTCCAATTTTGATTCGTCTTTTCACAATTCTTAATGTATTTTTCATTCCGTAAGTGCCATGCAGTTACACTTATTAAATGTATATGATTTTGATACCAGTTGTTGAATCAGTAAATTTCGAGAAGGCTTAATATTCGTGAAATTTATGGTTACCATTCATCCACGAATTTACATACTTCATGAATGAAAACACTAGGGTTTAAGTCATTGGTCCTAGTTATAAGTGGACAATATAAATTTCGTCCCCACCAACGTATAGAATTTAAATAATCCACTAAAATTGGCCTTCATGCATTTTCATGATTCCACAGTAGTTTATTCATTTTATTACAAAAATTGCACCATAATTGTCATTTTAGTATTATTAGATTCAAAATAAATAACACCATATCAAAGAATAAAGGTTTCTATTTTATTTTTTCGAAATCACATTTGGACTTCGTAGTGAGTCTCGGGATTCAAATAATTAGTTTTATCCTGACTATTTTTCAAAATTCTTATGGTTAAAACAGAAACGTTACCGAGATTCTGACAGAATTCAATATTATTAGCGTCCCAGCAGTACACATTGCAGATAAAGCTTTGGGTGATTTGTTGCAAAAAAGTAACTTTTTATAAATAGTTTATGGGGTGGTTTCTTGTCATGTGACACTTGTGTTTAAAATGTCACTGTAAATCTGTGATCCTGGTTCAATTTGAGCACCACAAGTAGGGCATGCCGGACCTGTAACGGTAAATAATGTTTCATATCAAGTGACTGGGATAGGTCAATAGGGTATGATATTTTGAAAAGTTGTGCAAAAGGGTAGATCTTGAGCTTCTTTTGGGAATATACACTTATTACAAAGTACAATTAATGCCTTCAATTTTAGAACACATATGAATACTTTTTAAAAGAAGGTTGGTTTAACAATCAAAAATCAAAATTAAAATTTTATCAAACTTTAAATAAATTAACTTGATGGAAACAATATTATATTTTTTTAATCAAGCATTATTTCTACTGAAGACACACCTGTTGTTTTGACTGAGATCAAGCTGGCCTTTGACATAGATTTGGGTAAAAGTTTGGGCTGATCGTCTGTGAAGCAGTCCATTATTTCGTTGCGTATCAGTTTGGGTTTGTTTGGAGTCAGGTTGTTTTTCTTCATGTATTGGATAATCTGTGTAGATAGAGCTGCCATCGCTTCTTTAGCCTAGATATAAAGTATATTTAAATGGATTCACAAACGGTCAAAGTCAAACAGTTAGAAGACAAAAGTTACACCATGGCACACTGTGTTTTCCAAACGAATTCAAAATATATCAAGTGCATAATCAAAATGTATACAATGCTTTAATATATTCCGTGGGAAAAACGTTGACAAAAATGGCATTTTAACTTAGAAATTGTATGTCTTTTGTCCCAAAAATAGTTATCTCTTTTATCATTATGTGAATTAACCTTTAGCGACATAAGGAGTGGATAGCAATACAGTATATAGTTTAATATATATTTTATTCACAGTATACAGAATATAGTGTATAAGGATTCCTACCAGCGCTGCATTCCCTCCAGTGTTGATATTTTCTTTATGAAAAGCAACAAAGTACGTGTTTGTCCGTACTGCCACTTCCCCTGTCTTCTTATTCTGTAGAGGTGTGTCTGTATTTATATGGAACTGTTCCTGTAGTACGAAACATGTGTCTTTGTAAACGTGGACCAAACAATCATTTCTTTAAAAAAAATATCGTATGTTTGCCAATGTATGAAGTATTTCAGTATCAAAAGTTTGCAATCCAGTATAATTCTAGTATGACTGATTATTTGATACATACCATTAGGCTAAAATCTGCTGGTCCAACACCAATAAAAATTACAGACAAGGGGAGGTGACTGATGGCAATCAATTTTCTTAGGGTTCGTTTGATATCGTTAATGACGCCATCCTGTAATTAAAAAGAGAATATTAATTTGAATGAAATGCCAAGATAACAAACAGTGATTAAGCTCAAACATTATTTAAAACAATAAAAATCGTTAGCAAACAATGCAAACATATCTTGGATCAAATGCCTTGGAGAAGTAAGCATCCCCTTAATTGTCACTACATGTATCGGGATAATGAGAAAATCAGTAAATAATGAACAAAATGCCTAACAACTTACATGAGAGACATCAGTCAACATCTGACCTAGAATGCATTGTACAGTATTTGCAAACAAACTTTGTATCATAAACCTATTTGTCAATAGCCTGCCCTGTTTAATAGAAATTATTTCATGCAGATACCTCTTGCATAACGGTTAAATTGAAGGATATAAACACCCTATACAAGTGATAATGGTATATTGCTACATATATAGGGGGATTTGACGAAAGAAAACATGACATAGATTATATCAGAATCTGAGTTAATTGTCTTTCATTCCGAGTTCAATGGGATATATCACGTTAATATACATGAAAATAACCATCAATGTAGGAATGAAATGAATACCTGTATTGTGATTGATAAAACTTCTTTAATTTATCTTACATGTAAAGACATCCTTTCAGGTCAAAAATTTTGAAGGTTTGAACAGATTCTGCTTCATAAAGACATCAGAGAATCTTACGTTTTACTGACATATGATGATAAGGGTCAACGAACAACAAAATTAAATTTAAATATAATTCCAACTTTTCAACTGTCAGCTTCCTTTATTTACGCAGTAATATTTTGCTATCACCCACATGCTCCAGGTACGATCAATTTTCAAACCAAACCAATACCTTGATGTTAGTGACAGTGATTTCAACAACCTTGGTTATATCACCAATTCGTTAATAATATGGTCGCTAAAATGATCTTGTAAGCAATTGTAACCTCTCACTTGATCATATCATAGCTGATTTGTTTCACACCAATTGATAGGCCTTTGTTTTTATACTGATGTGACTGGTCGACAGGACCGGGGATGCTTGATCTCCCTATGCCCCTGATCCCACCTCTGGATTTTTAGTGATTCGTATTTGTACCTTCTACCAAGTTGTGTATTGCTAATACTTAGATAGATACTTTTTTTAGATCCATCACTGTTCGTTATCATTAAAACCTACAGACTGGAAATAGAGCGATTACTGTAAACCAACTTTTATTCGCGTGCGAGAAATTTTCGCGATGTTGGCGAGAGGTCCGTCATCGCGAATATTTCTCGCTGCGAACCGGTCCTTAAGGTCTATATGTCTTCTAAAACAGATCCATAATAGGTTTGGTCGCGAAAATAAATTGTCGCGAACGAGTTTATTCCCGGTAAATCGCGAAATAAAGTCGTCGCGAATAAAAGTTGGTTTACAGTATTTGCATCAACTTCTGAGAAGTTTTGTGAAGAACCAGAATGATTTTATCAAAATAAGTTTGTGGATGACCGGTGACAAGGTATGTAAATTTTCTATTTCCATTTTATTGAAGAAGCTATAGACGTCAAAGACAAAAAGCCTGGTTTCTTATGTATTATCGGATGTGGTTGTATAAAAACTAGTGCTGAAAAGCTGAAAGATCTGATGATATCAAATTTGGTAAAATGTTACGATTTTAAATTTTCTAAAAGTTCCTTTCAGTTTTTAAGAATCAATATTTAATAATACCACTTCTCGAATATGTTGTTCTGCAGTACTCCTGTCAATTCTCCTTTGTTGTTGATAATATTTTTTGTGAAGAATTAAAGAAAGTAATTGGAAAAGCATGTACTAGTATATAAATATTGCATGTAGTTGAGTGTAACATTGAAAATTTTCACCCCCCGAAAACCATTGTCAACCGAGGCTGCGCCTCGGTTGACAGTGGTTTTATTACATTATACTGAATGTTTTATACAAAACATATTACAGTGAACCATGCGCGCATAAATTCTGCACAGTCGCTATTTTTTGGAATATCACCCGTCGTCAATCAATGTTGACTGTTGCTACGCTGGAGGGCGTGGCTTCATTATTCAGCGGGTAATAATGTTTTTTAACAAATGTTTCTCGACCAATCAGATTCAACTAATTTACATGAAAGTATAATATAATAATCTATATACGAGGGCTGCTCGAAAATTCATGAACATTTTATAAAGAACGAATAAAACACTTACGCAAAATTTCCAATTCCTATGATAATAAGAGAAGTTTCAGGGAAATGATAAACATGCATATGTCTATCGACCCGGAGCAGCATCACTACGTCATTTAACGTCACGTCAGCCGGAGATGGTTTCGCATGTAAAATGATCGGGAGGCGTTTAATACTTTTCCTTCTTTGTAATTACATATTTCAGTACACAAATCAAACAGTTGTGATCTTAAAATGATGCAGTGTCGATTTATGCAACGCAGCTTTAATACCGAAACGATATTAATACCGTACGTAATAACTGATGGTCGTCCGGAGCTTTTGATTTTACTCTGGTTGAATTAATTGTAAAAAAAAAATGTATACCAATGAAATAACAAACCCTAACACATTATTTTTCTCGTTGTTATTGTTTTAGCAGGTCGTTGAGTCTGGAAAAGAGTTCTACATTGCGCTACACAAATCGCTGCTCCGCCCTTGACGTCAAAATCCATTTTTTTGTTCTTAGCAGATTGCTCTACCACGCTTAATTTTTTTTATGATCTCCGTATTCCTGATCAAAATTCTAACAAAGTTGCACAACATGAATTTGAAATAAAGCTGAAAAATTATACACATAAATAGAATTATTTTCGCTCTTATTATGGGTCCACGAAGAGTTAGAACGTTGGTGTTACATATTTTTAATATCTGATTTCGAGACTGCTCCGGGTACCCCTACTAATGAGGCATTTATATACCATTGTACAGAAAATATTTATTATTTGTAAAATATTTTTTGCTTT